TTATCTTTGTGTCATCTTTTACCTCCAGCAATACTTTATTTATGTAACATTTATCCTATTTATAAATCTGCATGGCTTTGTCCTTGGCTATATCTAGTACATGACCAGGATGAAGACAAGAGGGCTCACTTGTTAAATTTATAAATGTCAAAAAGCCAGGAAGGGAAGCTAATCCCCAGGATGACAGAATTATGGTTCAAGAAGATCTCAACAAGTTTTAACTTTGGTTACATTCAATATGATATTGAAAAGAGTTAACGGTAAATTCTGCTTCAAAAACATCACGTATGTGTATATATGGAATGGGAGAGATGGTAACATAAAAAAGATGCTGGTTTATGTTGACTACATACATCAGTGGTTTCCGGACAAATTTTTTGAAAAACAAAATGAGAGACAACATCAGGCTGCCAACTTTTTATTGTTTATCTAAGAACACTAAAACAAAACAAAACAAAATTTTTAAAAATCCAAGATAAATATCGAAAGAAACTTACCACCTAATACTGTCATTTCCTAAAGAAAAGGACATTTTAACATTAGAAAAGCAGAAATACAGAATCTCCAAAAATAATCCCTTGAATTGCATAAATATAACTTGAAAAGCCACATACCATTTTCTCTTACTTTCTGCTTAGAACTGGCAAGGATAGTACTGTTATTCAAAGAGTTAACAAAATTTTATACTGTAAACACAAGTGTATGGCTTGAATTAAGGAAAGGGATAATTTCACTACACTGTATTCAGACCATAACTGCGGAATTAAATATGGAAACCAGATCAGAAAAAAAAAGAGAAAAGAATAGCATTGACAAAGTTCACTGAACTTGGTTGATGAAGATGAGAAAGGTAAACGAAACCGCATCATATGAAGTTGTAGGGGTTATAACATTTAATTTGGAACACAGAAAACCTAGCAGAGACCCAATATATTAAGAAGAACCTTACTGTATCTCACTCATAAAGACAGAACTGCAACCAATGGGAAGAAGTTACGTAATACATAGTTCAGCAGATACTAGCTCAATTGAAGTAAGATCTTTCTAAACTTTTCAAAAGCTAAATAAGCCATCATACTCCCATTCGTTCATGGACGTCTTCTTCATGTAGAAGCTGGATTCAGTAAGATCTCCAGAGATATTAGAAGTAGGTGGCACATTGTATGGCATGACTACTAAAGTCGCCTGTAATTCTAAAATTTTGTGAAGCAGAAGGGAATAGTACATGTTGCCTTTTTAACTTACTAAAAAATATGAGTGGAAAGAATTTTGGCTTTCGTTGAAAAGATGAAAATTCAGTTCTAGGTTCTACCTCTTAGTAAATGTGTGACACAGAGGCAAAATTATTCACTGACTCTGGGCCTTAAGTATTCTCAACTTTAAATATGTAAAATAATACCTTACTTACAAGACTGCTGCATGAATTACACACACACACACACACACACACAC